ACGACAGTAATGAACAATCGGCGGAAATACCTCAAAATAAAATCCATCCTCCCAAAGCACGGGCTCTGACTCTGTCCGCGTGGAAAAACATATCCGTCCGTGACAGCAGTATAATACATCCACAAACCCGGGATCCTCTGTCTTTTCAGTCTGCCTCCTCTTTTCTTTTTTCTCCCCCTCGACAAACAAACTACACGGCCCGGACTCTCCTCACGGAAAGTGGGGGTAACCCGCATATAATCAGCATCATATGGCCAGACCGGGGCTCCGGTTTTCTTCCCCGTGCCATAACACCGCGCAGTATTATGCGCCGCGCTCACGTGACGCAACGTCAACTTAAATCCCTTTATTTGAGCCCGTGAATCATTAATGGAGGCAGTCGTTGCCCCCGAGGAGAAGCGGATCAGTTTGGAGGGAGAAAAAAAGAGGGGCTGTGTGACAGTGCGATGTATCTGGCAGAGGAGCGAGGCTCTCGCAGAGAAGCAGCTTTTTCCACGTGTCGCCCATTCAGAGGGAAGGACTGTTCTGTCAGGTTTAAAGTGCCATATATTTGGAGCCTGTTAGCGGCTGAAAGACCTAATCCTGCTGTATTATGCTTGGTTTCAAGTGCAGCCACGGCTCGGAGCCAGGCTAAAACCAAAGTGTTTTGCACTGCAGCGTGACAATTCGCACTATGTGAGAATGAGGAGGCTTTCCCTACAAAATACCATTTGAGGATGGCATCGTGATTACTCATCACACCAATAAAGCTCTCCCTCTCTCATTTCTCTCTATTGCACAGCCGGGGTTGTAGAGTGCATTACACACTGCTCAACTCAATATCGCCCCCCGCTCTCATGGTCAGACTTGGGCTGTAGTATCACTTAGTCAGCTCCTGCCTCTCCATCAGCACAAGCCTGCATGCTGCTGGCTAAAGTGGAACAAAACGTCACACGTTTACCTGTCCAACATAAAGAGGCTGTGAGTCCCGGTGGTCGTGAGTTGTGCGTGTCAGTCAGCAGTGGGCGGAAAGTGGAGGTGAGGTAACCAAAGAGTGGCTGCTCGACCCCGCTGATCAGAACAAGGACCCCCATTAGACCTACATGCACTTATGCGTTTCCTATGACTAACTGAGTGATGGTAGAAATCACAGGTTTGCGCAAAGGAAGAGTTTTGCAGCTTTTGCAGATGTGAGGGGAAGGATCATGTGGCAAAAAGTGTCGATTAAGCCACAATCTTGGCCACCATAATTTTAAACCAACGTTTTATCCAAAGAGTGTGCCACGCGTGCGTCGTGGAATAAATCTGGCTTCTACCCTTCTAGGTTTTGCCAAAAGTCGTAGCCCCCGGAAGAGCTCCTCTCTTTTTCGGCACCGTTTGGCGCTTGTTTTCCATCAACGCCGAGCAGCGGGCGTGGAAAAATCCCAACACAACTATTAATCATTCGGGGCGGACATGGACGGCATCCCACTCCCACATCAGCCTTTGTCCTCTCAAACTACAACTTGAGCGGCAAACTTTTAAAGACGGGAACAGAAGCAGCACCAGCTCTCATTAATTCACCTTTAACACTGACAAAACTGAAGAGGAGGAATGTAAAATGTTGAGGATTAAAAGTGAACTTTTACGCACAGCTTTTTACGCACGGTTATGAAAAGAAGATTGTTACTCGTTTGTGAAAGAGAATGCATGTGTGTAAAATAAGTTATTTTGTTCTGTCTTTGTCCTCCAACAGATGGAAGCTGTCACTAGGATTACTTGGCTCGACATGAACGTGCACTGGAGGCTCATCCAACCTTGCCTTTCGCCACCACACCTGAACTCTCCCCTGACCCGGGCAGAGGCACACAGAGTCGAGTGGGTGATCTAAACCAGAGGCCCTTACATTTTTCACATTTTGCTCAACTTTTTTTTACACAGATTTGCCTTTTGCACAAATGTAGAAGTTGATTGATTATGTTTAAATCTCATCTATTTTAGCATTAAACAAATGTTTCAGAGGTATTCACACAAATCAGGGCTCCTTATCACTGTCAGCGAAGAGGAGTTAGAGGCGCAGACCTCTGGATGTTGGCCAGTCGGCGGTCCATATCTTCCCACAATGTTGACACTCGGAGCTCTTAACAGCCGGGCTTGGGTTACCGATACACTCAGCCGAAGATAACTCTTTCTGCGAGGTTTACACCGGCCAACATCAAGGCTAATGCGAAATTCAACGCCTTAAGCAGATAGGAGCCATCTCTCATGGACGCAGAGCAGCACTGGGGCGGATTATAGGACTGGAGATCTGTGCTTATGTAGGAGGTTGTAATAAAGCTATTTGATTTTCATGTTGAACTCAAACGCTCTTTGAAACTGAATGTTTTCAGATAACATAGCCTACAAAGGTTTTTGTGCAATAGCTGCCTATTAAATTTTGGAGGTAAGTGCAAAACAGGTCAATAATAATAATAATATTCATAACGATAGCCTACATATTTTACGAATCATAAGAGCTTTGTTAATGTTTAACCTGTGTCTAAACTGGCCATTGTGTTGACTCTAATGAAAGGCTCTTTCATGCTGAGTTGTCCTGACAACTTTTAGAAGCAACAGATCAGCCCTTTGCATTGTCACTGTCCTTTAAGCAGCTTTTCTGCCATTTATGAAAATGAAAAGTGATAAATAACCACTTTTAAAATTCAGGGAGACAGTTCTTAAGCTTTTGTTATATCCCTGAAAATAATCCACCATGCCAACATGAATGCAGAGTTTTTACTTAAGACCACCACATTTTAACACTGCAGCCACATTTATTGTTGACGTATGTCTTCATTTTGATTTTAATTTTTAAATGTGCACATTTAGTTTTTCAAATGACTTTACCATCTTACTTGTTGCTTTGATTCAAAGGATTATTAACTTGTGAGAAATTGGACATGTTATCATGCATCATATTTTCTAAAACGTTCAATATGATACAAGGAAAGACTATGTTTTAATAGACAACATTTTAACACAAATATAACCACATTGTAATGTCTTCAATGTTTGGCAATAAAACTGATTATCAGATATGGGTAAAATCATAATTTCAACGACTTTAGAAAATACAAATAACATATCATATTTAAACACATTTTACAATTTACATGGACAGAAACAATTTGATATGAAAGATCATTAAACAACTCAACTTCTGGGAAATTTAATATTTTTTAAGAAACTAATGGGAAAAACAAATCTTCCAAATCTACTCACAAGTCATGGCGGTGTGTGCCCAGCAGACAGAGTTGTGTCAGGGGAGAAGAGCTCTGACTCGTACCCTGCAGAGGATCACTTCAAATGAAAATAAGGCAGATTTTCAGATCTATTTCTGATCCCCGGGGTATTCATTATTCAGCAAGTCACGTGGACGTGCGAATTAAAATTTCAGTACATTGGAATTGACCTCTATTCGCGAATCAAATGACTTGAAATCTGTACTTTAACTAGTTGGGACTTCTCGGAGTCTGCAGTGCCAATCAGCTTCAACGCCATCTTCCGCAGAGCTTCCGTGTCTGCATGCAGCGCCGCACAGAGCTGAGGTTTTGCAGAAGCATGCTGCAACATTTCTGCAGCAAATGTTGTCATCTTCGTTTTATTCAGGCTACACAGAGATGTGCGTTTAAGAAATGGATGACTTACAATTAAATATCCCGTAAATAAGATGTAAACTTTTTTACTTTGGCTATTGTGGTGAATGTAAATATTATCTTATTTACTAATAAATACATTGTCAGTCGATTTATTATCCAGTTACTGACTAAATATTTGTTAAGACACCATCGTTACTACAGCAGACTCAGAGCCATAGAAGATTACAAGCACAATACCAGCATGTATGTGCTCATATCTGCCCTCTGTGCGCGGCCTGACAGGGGTGTTTCTGTGATGGATTGCAGAAAAGCTGTCTCCAAGAATAATTTGGGGGAAATTCATGGGTCGGATTCACACCTAAACATCGTTTTTGTTTCTGTGCTGTCTCTGGGCAAAATCTGAAATGAAAAGAAAAAGGGCTCGTGGAGGTCTCGGTGCTGATGTATGGTCTGAACATTGTGTGTGTCGAGAGGTCAGGGGTCAGAAGAAGTGCTCCGGGCCGGTGATTGGCCAGAGCTGGCTGTGTCCCCTGGTTGAACTCTCTATTGTTTGGATGTAGCAGGTAGTGACCAACACTCACACCCTGGTGCACTGAGGTTGGCTGAGATCTCCTTATAATGGTCGCATGAGAACAATATGTGTTGCCGGATATATTTCACTATTTGGAATTTAGATTAATATTCGTGACATTAGAAATGCCTGTAACATGTGGATCCAACAGTTTATACCTGATATTTCTTCTAAAATTGGTGTAAATCCATGAAAATGCGCATGACAACCGTGCACATTTTACGTGATTCATCCAGTTGAACATTGAAATATTAGAAAATATGGTGTAAGAGCACATTTTATGGGATGTATTGTATCCAAAGTGATACATTTTTTAGAAGAGCCTAACTGAAAAAATCTGTAATTCGAGTTATTTAAAAAAAAAAAAGATTGTACTCATAACCTGAACATATTAGAATTTTTCACTCTTAGTACAAATATGTGTTTAGGAGAAACTGTGCAACTTTGCGGCCCGGTTACCAAATTAATCCTCTCCGCAAATACCATAAACTGTTATTAATTGTCTTTTATTACAGTCAGATGGCGTCAAAGAAGATCTATGGAGTATTTTCAAAGTGTAGCGCAGTAAATTATCCAATGTTCAGACACGTCATTAGTTTTACGCACGCATCTCTAAACACTGGACAAGTGATTTAAATGTTCAAATAACACTATAGTAAAGGGAAATAAACAGCATGAAAATAAAATAGTTTGGGTTTGAGATTGCAATTCTGAAAAATTGGGAATACATTAAAAAGATAAGCACCAAATATTGGATTTTTACGCACGGCTTTAACAAAGCATGTTTCGCCCAAATCAAATCAGTATATGCAGTGACAAAATATCACGTCAGCTTGAAATGTGAAGTACATATTTATTTCACAAGGACAAGTTGATCCTACACTAACCTACATCACAACGGTCATTACTGAGACAACACATACAAATATTCACAGTTTAGAACAACAACACAACATGGGACGCACTAGCACAAATAAAACTACACCTTACGACACCAACAAACATAATTCTACTGGACGAAATGCTTTTCTTATTGTGCCTTCATTATGATTTGTCTATGTACATTAAATGTGAAAGTCACCTGGACTACATTCAACAGTAAACCAACTCACTCAAACACACAAACTACACTGTTACTCTGGCTGATGCCATACCTCTAAAACAGCCGCCTGGTTTTCTAAACAGGCATCTATAGATTCTCGCTAAATATCTTTCAAGTATATTAGAACTTTCCATGAGCAATAATACAAAACAGAAAAAAAAACAATATTCAAAAAAGGAACATATAAAAATGAGCTCAAACGTACTTTTACCTCACTCAATTTTAACTGTAATGATACATTTTTGATCCAAGTCCTATGGTTGAGTGTGCGTAATCCTTCTGTCATAATAATAAACAAATATATAAACACTTCAGTTGCCACCGTGGCATTTAAAGGTGAATTTCAAGCTTATATGAAGACGGCAAGGACAAGCGGAGAGGGAAAGGGTACAAAGGACGTGACAGGGGCCCAATGGCAGAGGCAAGGTGAAAGAGAGAACACCATGTGTGTAAAATACTGAGAATTGGTCCAACAAATCCCACTTGTGTTATTTGCCATCTCAGTCTGGATTGGGTTTTTGTGGGGTGGGGTTCGTTCATGCACTATAGACCTGCGGTGCACGGCGTGGGGACAAGCTGCTGGCCTGTTTTGATCTGCTGCTGCTGTTGCTGGGGCCCCGAGGCTGAGGCCGAGGTGGAGGAGCGGATCTTGGTGTTGGGGAGCTTGTGCTCCTTCTTCCACTTCATCCTCCGGTTCTGAAACCAGATCTTGACCTGACGCTCAGACAGACACATAGTGTGCGCAATCTCCACCCGCCTGCGCCGGGTCAGGTACCGGTTGAAATGGAACTCCTTCTCCAGCTCCAGAGCCTGCTGGCGGGTGTAGGCAGTGCGGGACCTCTTGGGCACTCCTCCAGTGTAATTGGGATTGACTGGAGGGGAAAAAAACAGCCACACATAGGCAAGCAAGCAGGTGTTATATGCTGGCGTTTATTCCAAACCAATATAGTCCCTCCACTGGACATTAAGAGGTTGAAAAAAATATATTTGTGGAATTTGTGTGAAAGAGCAGCCGTTCTGTTTGTTTTATTCTGTCCTCCTGTCTCAGTTTACGAACATGACCTTAAATGTGGAGACGCCGAGTGCACAAGCATCCGCATCCAGGGACAAATTAAGCTTAGAAATGATTAACAAAACAGCGGGGTTGGATATTACAGTTTGGCTCGGCTCCAGTGGCGGAGCTAGTTTGGGTTAAAAAGCAACAAAGGCACATGGCCCCGACAGACGAACATAGGCAATAAAATTTACGAGGGTCCTTAATTACCGACCCTGCTGCTCGATAGTCGTAAATTGCTGTATGGGCTGCTACTAGTGCTGCCTCAATGGGCTGGCGTGTGTTCCAGCGGTTGTTTCTCAGTGGTTCTGCTATTTAAACATGACGATAACTCACCGTTGCTAACGTGGACCTTTTTCATCCAGGGATAGACTACCGGCTCCTTGCCCTTCGCTACGCCGGGATATACCTCACTGGCAAGGCTGCAGTCTTTGCTGGCATTTGCTCCTGCGCCACCGTCTGGGGCCGCGGTGAGGCGAGGACCGTGGCTCTGTGGAACCGGCTGCGGTTGTGCGTGGTGCCCGTCGCCGAAATCATCGAGTCCGGTGGCGGGGACGTTGCCGTAGTCGTATCCCGATTCCGTGTAGTTTGACCTCGGATAGGATGGCTCGTCGTGATGGGGGAAGCCCGTATCCTTTGGCCGCTCGTAGTAATCACCGGGATTGGGGATGTATCCGCTCTGCTGATATTCGTCGCATGGAGGAAAGGACGGCTCGATATAGTTGGAGTTTATCAAGTAGGAACTCATGGTCATTAATTTGTGAAGTGCAACAATACTAATTTTTATCGCGCTGTCGTTTTTCTGATCTCCACAAAACCCTCCTACTCCCTGTCAAATGTACAAAGTTGCCTGGTCACGTGTGAGGCGCCACCAATCACCGCGTGTCCTGTGGGCATCATGTAAACAGGAACCAATGGAAAGCATGGCACTGGTACCACCAGCGCTGGTCGGACTGGCTTACGTTGGTGTTTTCCTTATTAAATCACAGTATATAAAGCAAAACCAATCAACTAGCTTGTTTACTGCATGAGGCCAAACTTATGTGGGTGAGGCTTTCCTGCATGTGGAAGAAAAAAAATCGTCCTCTGAAAGAGAGTGAATGTGAAAATCCAGCTCTGAGAAAATCCAGATTTCACAAACAAAAGACTGTTTCTGACAATCTGTGACACAAATATGTTGTTTTTTGAATCACACGTGATGCATCCAAATAAAAAGGATGAAGATAAAAATAAAAAATAGGCTTATGCAACAACAAAAAGTGTAAATGCACAATATAAGAATATCCAAATCATGTAAAAAGGATAACAGTGAGTGCACAAGCTCCTGCCCGAGCACTGACGAGCCGCTGCTCTGCGGACATTCGAGGCTGCATATAAAACACATGACCTGTGCATCAGTGAAACCCGGTTATGTCTCTCTTATAAACAGAAGAAACCCAAGACGCACGGCTGTGCTCGTGAACAAAGCTCATTTTCAGTTCACACCATGTTCATACATTTGAGAACAGCTGATTTCAAAGAGAGAAAAGACAGATTTTGAAATGTACCAGGACGTGGCAACAATTCCAAACCATCTTTAGCCTCTTTAGTCTTCCAACACCACATTGAACTCATCTGACACACAGCGCACTGCCGTATTAATCAGCTGTGCTGTGTTAACTGCCATTGACAAGCTCATGCAAACACTGGACAAACGCATCGCAGACATGGATCCTGCGTAAAAAGCCAGAGGCCAAAACCAACCGTGGGGTTTTATTTAAAACCACGAGCAGAGGATTTATAACAGAGATGCCTGCCACAACACCCGCATACAGCAGACAACCTCATGTATAATTAAACCATCTACATCTGAATATAATCTAAAATATACAAGAAACATTTCCCAACAACTTCGACATGTCCACACAAATCTGACACATGTTGGATAAGACAATCTCCTGCAGCAAAACTTTACTGTAAGCATCATTACATAAACTGTCCTGCGTCATAGCAGTGAAAATATATGCTTTAACTAGCAATAGTCACTCAAAGCCACAATAATGGTAATATAAAATACTCTTTTTATGGGAAAATTACAACCAAAAACTTGCTTTCGTCCTGTATGTGGCTCAAATATATCTAAATATAATTTAAAAAACTCAAATGTTTGAATTTTAGTAAGTACATGTTTATCAAGAGAAGAAAATAAAAGTGTCTGACCGTGCTCTGCGCCATCTGCCATCACGTCCAGGTCCTGATGTTTCGTCTCCATGTCCGAGGTGTCACACTGTATGTGCGTCCCCTGAAGATGCGGCAGCTGATCCACACTGTCCACGTCAACAAGGCCTCTGTATGGAGAAACAAGAGGCCAAACTTCGGAAATATTGAAAGCTTTCTTTTCTTTTCTCCAGTTCTTTTTTTTCCTCCTCTCTTCTCCTCCTGGTCCTCCCCTATTCTATTCGCTCCCCTAAACAGAGATAACTTCTGCCTGACCCCAAAGTGACACCGTTTCCATTTTGTTTCTGATTAATCTTGCCCATTGACAGTCTTTGTTAAACAACAAGGCGTGCCCCCTCTTTTCCAAAGAGGCGACATTTTCATATCTGTTAGACGCGGTGACCTGGGATTCACCCCAGACTTGGACTTCAGTTCTGCGGGGTCTGTTGGGGAGCACTTAGCGAGGGGTCAGCACCCAGGATGGTCCCCAGAGGAATTTTAAAATGCGTAAAAAGACCAACAACTATATGGAAAAATCCCACTTCGAGCTACGAGGGGGAAATGGAGAGTGGTGGTCTTCCAAACAGGAACAGGCAACTCACATATTTAACATTCAACACATTTCTTTTTTCTTTCTTTCACATTCTTTGAATTTCTATTTTGTGGATGTGCTGATGCTGAAGACTCAAAACAGGTGAAATCTTCTTTTACGCATGCAGCCAAAGGAAGACCCCCATTTTACTCCTCTTAAAAAATGATTTTCTTTTTCCATGTTAGCACAGTGTTGCTGTGAGGCAGAGCTGCTGCTGCTGTCCTGTGTATCTTACAGCCAACGTAACTCATTGTAAATGGCAGATGATGTACTTTCTACCATATATCCACTGTATCCGTATGGCCGAGAGACCACCTGAGAGGCAATATGTCAACATAATGTCAGCGGTAAGACGTCTTCACATGATATCTAAATTTACAGTCTGCTGCCATTCTATTATACTTCCTGTATAAATATGGGCCAGGTCATTCAGGCTATTATCCACTTACTGTAACTTACCCTTGCGTGAATAGTTCTGCTCTCTACACTTGTTGCTATGGACTATATATGTTTTTTCTCTTTAAATTTAGGCAGCGTGGTTTAGTAAAACATTATCATAAAGACACTATTCAGAGCTACAAAATAGGCACTTTAGATAAGAAGCCAAACACCTATGTTATCTCAGATAGGCCTGCAATACGCTGCTGTGCTGTGCGTAAAGACGCATTAAGGCATCTAGAAATCTCACAAACACTGCAGCTTATTGAAAAAAATATAATAGGATAACAACAATCCAATTGACCGTTGGACAAAAAGGCAGCATCTGGAAACAATGGTAATAATTTTCACAAGGTTTAAACAAACATTTCCCTCAACTGAATCCGTTGCAGGCTCATGTTGTATCATTTTCATCATTATTATTATAGGAGAAAGTAAGTTAACAATTCCAGATCACGGAGCTCCCTGTCAGAGCATGCACTGTGCAGTGAAGGTCTATTTAAGATAAATGCATCATGCTGACAGTTTACTGTAAATTTAGTTTATCAGAGAAGTGCTGTGACGATGGTGACAGATTGCATGTTGCTCTCACAAGGTCTCCTGTCTGTGTGTGCAGCCCCTGCGTGACGGGCCGGCACAAAAAAAATCCTCCCTGCCTCCCAGATGAGCCAAGGATTCGGCCTAGAAAACACCTTTCTTATCTTTATGGAAATATTTATGATATAGGTAAACACTGGTAATCAAATATTTTTCTTTTTTTACAGTGTGTCACGTGTGAGCTTCCTTTTACATCTGTTATTTATTGCTGCACGGCAAATACGCACAGGGAGAGGTGGACCATCCAGGACTGGACATTGGGTTTAATACAGATGCTAACTTTGATTAGATGTATAATATAGTGAAGTTTCAAGGCGATAACAGAACACCGGAGAGGGGGACAACAGCAGCTCGATTCTTTACGCATCCAGCGTATACGGACAACTTCCTCTGAGGATGGAGGCTTCTGCAGCTGAAATCAACGAGTTTTAATTTTCGGTTTTCAAACAATAACGATGCAACTCATGTTCCCAAAAAAACAAAAACTGAAATCTGTGCGTCTGTGCTGCTGCAGAAACTGTGAGCAAACATTTACATAAGTCAAACTATGCGTTTTACGAGACGATGTTCAACCAAAACTGTGAAAATCATGAATATTATTTAAAGTGAAATATGTGGAATATTGGTTATTGAATAAAAAAAAGGCACAAAACGACAGAAAAGTCAAAACTATTCAGCAAACATCTGATACATGTTATTTGATTTCTTGTACATTTTATATTTTAAGTCAAATATTTATCATTTTCAAAGCGCAGAATGTCGTACTGTGTGGACGCCACATGGACGATACTGAGTTTCTATAAATGTGTTGAATTTTAACAAATAAACCTTTGGAGATTTTTTTTTTTGGGGGGGGGGTGCTTATTTTCTAACAATTTCATGTTAATACGGCAATTTAAAAAAGCTCCAATCAACACTGAAAATATATTCTGGCTTTATTAGCCTTTTTCAAAAATAACAGAACAGAAAGTGTTGCCATGTTTTGCTATTTTCTCTTTCGTCTTTTTTGTTAGGATTCTGTGTTATGTTGCAGTTTGCACTTAATTTGTTGTAGGAATTAAGAGAGATTTTAAAGCGTTAATAAAGGAAATAAATACATTTTCTGTTACCAGCCATCGTTTCTACTTGTGTTTTTTTCATACGCCTACAACCAAATGTTTTATATTTTATCTAGGTAAAATCTAAAAATGTGCATTTTTTTCATTGGCGTTTTAAAGGCCTTGTAAAAAAATAAAATGTACATGGAACATATTGCCACATATATATATACAAATATATATAATACAAGCTTTCTCTCTGTGTGTCACAAAAACATCTGTGCCATTTCTGTTTTCTTAAAGGGCTTCTATTCAGCTTATCAGGAAGAGAGGGGCTAAATGTTTTTTAAGGGGTCCGGGGGCACAGTTTGGGGGCTCTGGGCCTTCCCATTACCCTGTGACCGGGTCGAGAGTATCAATCCTCGAAATGCAAATTTTGCCCTCGTCCCTAAACATATCAAATGCAATTTATTCAAAAGAAATTCACCAATCAACCGCCCTAATAAAACGCCAGCCACTCAATCTTGTTGCCGGGGACGGGCGGAGGGGGGTCCCCCTCCCCCGGTTCCAAACGCGAGGTCACTGCGCTTCCAGGGTTCACCTGGAGTGCATCGTGCCACATATGTAATTCAAAGCTATTCTCTCTTTTGTGTGGAGAGTCAAGATCGCTATTATAAGGCTGGCATCAAGCTCCGACTGAACAGATGACTGAGACTTGTTCAGCGCGTAAACTCTTGACCCCAATTTTTCCTCCTCTCCTGCAGCTATCTCGCTCTCATCAGTCCCAGCCCAGAGAGATCTGTGGATCTGTTGAAATGAAAAATTCATTTCAACAATGTGTACACCTCTCGCCATCGACACCATCGCTTCCATGAATTTCATAATTAGTTTGAAGATGCCAGCACAAGACCTGAAATGCAATTGTGACTTTGTGATGTTTCCAAGGAGGGAGTGGAATGATCAATCCGATGGGCTCCCACTTAAGACTAATAGGGCCGTAAAATATGCAAATCATTCATTAGCGTTATAGAGCAAAGCAAAGCAGCCAAAAGTCTTTGTTGGAGGCAACACTCGAAGTTAGACTCCCTCCTCTCTGTTCACCGCGCAGCCTCTTTCCTCCAGTGCTGCATGTTACCACAGGCGCTCAGGCCTTTGGTAAATTCATTTTTACACATTATGCTTATAGGGAATGACAAGCAAACGTGTCATTAGCGTGAAGCCGTGTGTGCACGCGGTGCAGTGGATGTGTGAGTGGTTCTCCTCTCTCCATATAGCAGGGTGACAGTGAACTTGGCCTAAAGCGAGCTCTGCTGGTGGCTCTGAGAGGATGCAGATTTATCTTGGTGCTGTGGCTGACCTCCAGATGAACCTACACAGCGCTCCTCTCCCTCTCTCTCCCCGCCTGGCAGCGCGCCGCACATGGGGCCCTGTCCAAATTTCTCCCTTTGAAAGATTGGCAAAGGTTTTAATTTCCAAATAGCCGCATTCTCTCCAGAAAGAATATAAATCCATATTTTGTTAAGCTGGTGACCTCTTTACATAGCAATGCACAACGTTTGTTTAAGCAATATGAGGGTTTTCAGCAGTGTCGTTCAGATTGATCGACTTTGACAAACAATGCAACCATTGATTTTCAATGTGTTTGTTTGAAAGAAAATTTCTTCTGAAAGTGATGAAATTTCAAATACAGTTTCTCTCCAGCTTCGGTAGAAAAATAGTCAGAAGTCATTAAAAGTTCTGGGTTCGTTTTAGCTCTGCAGTGAAAAGTAAACATTGAAATTTGTTAGAAATATTTTTTTTTCTGTCAAGAACTTTTTCTTTGTGAAGTGGACCTTTACACCAAAGATTAATATTTATAGTTAGGTCAAAGTGATAGGAAGGCTGCGTAAAATGTTTCCAAATCCAACAGTTGAGTTGATATTGTCCTGATTATTGGCTGCAAAACTTACAGGACATATCCATCCCTTCTCAAATTATTTGTTTATCTTTGAGCATATTTAATCTGAAACGTTCAGATAAGAAACACGCAATGAGTCACATCCTTCTCATAAAAGCAGATTCAAAAGGACAGGAAAAACAAAAATGATAAATTCATAAATGGTGGAAAGAAAAGTCCAAGTTTTCTACTTTTCATCCTATT